CCCCCCCCCATCAGGTTATTGAAAGAAATTACAAAAAAATTAAGAGTTCAATTGACATTTTTCATTTAAAGTCGAAAAGAAAGATTTTTACAGTAATGACCACAAAAATAGATTGTACAGATACGTCAAAAAAAATTTAAAAAAATTATCATTCACGAACTTTACACAGCCTTAAATTGTAAACAAGTTATAGAATATTTTTTATCTTTTTGAGACGCCCTTCCCCTAAGGTTATACTGAAAGAATATGTAATAAATGTTGGAGGTCAATTGACCATTTTCATTTATTGTTCATCGACAATTAGTTAGTGCTGTAGAGAGGGGGAAACTAAATAACTAATTTCCCCCTCTCTTCCACTTAAAATTGAAACTCATGCTATCGAAACTTTGTTCTCTTGCTAATGTTTATGCATTTTTTTCTTACGAAAGTTCTGGACTTAAAGTGAATTTTTCGCCCTACATAGGGGCGATAAAGCAAGTTTATGGAGTCGGACCTGCTATAAAAATCTCAAATTACACATCTATATTTCCCGTTGTAGAGTAATAAAGTAACTTTAAAACCGAAAATTGAAAAATGGCATTGCTACCCCTTTTTTACTGTCTTTGATCAGATATTTGCAGGAAAAAAATCGCAAATCACAGTCCAAATTGCCTGTGGCAATCATATAGTTTTAATTAGCCAAATTGACGACATTTGTTTTTGCTTAAACATAAAAGATTATTGGTTAATGTGAAAAAAATATTTTTAACAATAGATATACGAAAAAAAGAAAAAAACATATTTATCCTCAGATATCTCAATAATGTTTGGTATAGTGTGGGCCAGATAGAAGGCTCTAAATTTGACATTGAAAAAGTTGTTTTTGTGGCTGTTGAGAAAACACGAATTCTTAAATAGCAACAAAAAATTAAAGATTTTCCTGAGCGAAAAATGATTTTTTTCTGAAATTTTATAAATAAGATTATTTATAAAGATGTTGAGATGTATTATCAGCTCAAATGAAACCTTTATGTATCCAGCACTATAGTTTTAGTAGAAGTAAATATTTCCATTTACTGATGATAGCGCCGATTGAAGGAATCATAACTCTAAATCAGAATCGACAACAAACATATGACTGAACCCTGAATGGATCAGACGCTTATGGACTCGGCATGACAGGAGTGCCAGCGGTTGGTTGATACATTAACCAACAATCTTTCATGCATAAGCTAAAACAAATTAGTTGTCAGTGCGCCTAATCAAAACTATGTGATCGCCACAGGTTTTTTGGACTTAAATTTGCGATTTTTCCCCCTGCAAATATCTAAACAAAGACGGTAAAAAAGGGTAGCAGAGCCTTTTTTCAATTTTCGGGTTTAAAGTACCCTTTATAAAGGACTTTTCGGATGAATTTTCACACTTTACTCCAAAACCCAGGGAGTAACTCCAACACCTTGGGAGCAGCCACAACCTCTCCCTCGCTAAAGATACAGAGCTGAACAGAGCTTATTATCCTATTTTCTCTTTGGACATCTAAAATTTGTTTCAGTTTTGTATTCATAATAAGAATTTTTGCCATGTTTTCTTTTTTATATAAATCACTTAATTCGGAAATGAGCTTCCCTTTCAAATGCTTAGTTTAGGACACTTCATACTTCTTCTTTTGGTGAATATAAACTTATTAAATACTCCATTATTATGATAACCTGACAATCTGTATCCAGCTTGAAGATCGTGTTGTATATTTCCAGCACCCTGGCAATTGGAAGTCAACTATTAGACTTTTTAAGCCAATTTTTTACACAGGACCCATCTATGGTCTATGCAAACTTATTCATTAGGTGTATGCATATGAATTTGAATAAATTTAGCATACTTTTGGTAGATTTACATGAAATTAGAGAAGGAATCCTAGGTGGGAACCTTTTTTATGCACACCCTTTAGGATAACAAAATTGCATGTTTGTTTAGAGCAAACCTCTATAGAATACAATTTTTAATCGTTGCACTCTTCTCAAATTGGCGTGAAACCTTTTTGAAGTCTAAAAATATTAAAAGTTTCTGTAAAACGAATCTAGCTATTGCCCATGGCTACAGACAATATTAGGTGGCAAAGATAAAGCGATTAGAAAATCAGCGTTTGTGGCAAAGACTTATTTCCTTAGAATAGCTGTCTGCTGCATGGTTCTCTTTGAATCTGATCGATTTGAATTCATCCTGTTTTTTTTATTTTCCTTTAAAACTACTGTTTGTTTAGATCCCCCTGGCAGGATTGGTAAAACCAAAAGAGATTCTTATTCTGGTTGTTATGTTCAGTTTATTCACACTCTCATTTTACAGGTTTTTTTAAAATTTTATTATCATAATCATCGTTGTTTTCTATATCAACCTTGTTATCATTATCATCGTTGTTATTATTATCATTGCTGTTTATCATCGTTGTTATCATTATCTTCATTGTTTTCATTATAATCTTTGTTAGCATTATCATTGTTGTTATCATTAACATCATCGTTATCATTATCATCGTTGTTATCATTATCATTGTTGTTATCATAACCATCGTTGTTATCATTATCATCGATGTTATCATTATCATCGTTGTTATCATTATCATCGTTGTTATCATTATCAATTATCATTATTTAGTATTTAGTATTTTTATTATCATTATTTAGTATTTAGTATATCCATTATCATTATTTAGTATTCAGTAAATTTTACTAATGCTCATTTTTATTATTTAAGATTTTTTAAACACTGGAAGAAGAATTATTATGATAATGCAAACCATCTACCGACTTATTACAAGGAAGATTCCCTTGCTGCCACCCCTGTCAGGTGAGTTTTTATTGCTGAGATATAAAAAGTTTCTAGGAACTGAATTTCTTAGCAATACTATCTGCAGCGTTGAACTTGATTAATTTAGGATACATATATGCATTTTATGGTTACATAACACAATACAGTATTACTCCATTTAATTCAATACGAAACAAAACAATATAATTTATCTAAATATATATTTTTTATTGGGTTTGTTGCATATACACATGGCTGGAAAAGTTGAGCAAATTTTGGTGGACTTCTGGCAATCTCTGCGAATAGTCGAAATAAAAATGTTGCCTTCTAAATTTTCGATTTTGAAAAGTTTTGAAAAATGCGTGGAGGATAACTGGGAAATCTGTTAAATCTTTTGTTTATTATGAATATGATGCACAAAGAAAAAGTTGCAAATATCTTTACTAAAACAAACTGGCACTAGAAAACATATTGTAATACAATGGCAATACTAGATCCTAATTTTCTTGATTATATTCTTAAAATGATTAATTAGCTTTTAATCTATAATTACACACTGCAGACCAGCTGGTTCTATGTTAGCAATTACTGTAATATATATATATATTAAATACATATATTATATGTATATAAAATACAGGGATATCCAAATGCAGTAGATCTTCTGTAAAATCTATAAGTGCCCATAGAATCCAAAATAAAAAGGTTTTTTTTTGCGTGGAAATTTTTATTTTGGATACTCATTGACCCGATACCTTGATTTCGATATCCACTATGGGCACTTATGGATTTTACAGAAGATCTACTGCATTTGGATATATTTTCTTTTTTGTGAAATGCAAAGTGCTCAGGCTTTTGATTGGCACTGAGCCCTTAACAAAAAGTTAGTCGTCAAATGATTAGACAGTTCTGACTTTAAAGTGTCGAAACGCTTTCATCTGCGATTAAGCTCGCCAACTTACTTAAACGATTTTGTAGCCCTAGGCCTATACATTTGAAAAATGCACTGCGCTTGTTTCTAATGAACTTGACTTACGTTTCTGAACTAAAGATCAAAGTTTTTGTCAATGACTCATTTCCTTTCAACCGCGAATTCAAAGTTTAAGATTAAGCTGGGATTTGAATCAGTAATTAAAATTTGAACCGGCAGGAGGCAGTTAAGCAACCCCGCATATTTAGTCGATGCCTGGTTCGCTACTATATATAAATTAATAAAATGATCAACCATCGTCCCGTTTAAGTCAGTAGTAAGCTAAAGCTTATACCATGAATGTGTAAGAGAGGATGGTTTGGATTGATATATTGATGTATAAATGGTTCAGAAGAACGGAGAAAGGGAACTTGGGTGTAAACTTGGTTTACGCCAGCAATCAATCAGTTTTCGAAGTATATGTTCTCACCATTACATTTACATACATTGTACTGTAGGATGTAACTGTACAGGGTGTCCCCACAAAAAAAAATTCTAGAGAAAAGGAATTGAGTTTTTGTTATTGTCAAAAACTCTGATTTTCAAATTCCTATCTATATCGTTGCCAGCCAATGTAGGTGGCCTTGGATATTTTAAACTATTAATTCTGTTAGATCAAATAATCTAAGTTTGAAATATCAAACGATTAGAAAATTTGAGTTTTGAATGTTTAATGATCATGCAATTCCATTAAACTAATATGGAAATATTCTTGCTCAGTAAAATTTTTCAGTATTGATGAATATTATTAATTGCTTCATTGTTTTATATATATATATTAAATACATATATTATATGTATATAAAATACAGGGATATCCAAATGCAGTAGATCTTCTGTAAAATCTATAAGTGCCCATAGATCAATTTAATAATCATGCCAGCATATTGCTGTAAGACATTTTATAAAAATAGATATTATAATATTCAGAAACAACTGCGCAGCTTTCTCTTAATGCTGGCCTTGCAGGGCAAATCTTTATTCAGCATTTTCTTAAGATAGAATTTTTCTTAAATAATAACACAATATTACAATATTTACAGTGGTACCCATAAAATTGTGATATAGAAAGCTGCTTTTACGCATTTGATGGTGTTTTTAAGCTTAGAATAAACTTATCAAGGCATGTGCCTGTTTTCATTTCACAAGCTTGACTTCTTTTATGTTTATTAAACTTTTTAAAAAAATAACTTGCGTCTAAAAATAGTTTTTCATTGTACATTATAAAATCTTTTTTTTTAACTTTTTTATTTTTCTAATACTTTTTTAGGGACTTTCATTGCCATCCTGGTTCAATATCCGGTTCTGATAGGAATCCACTGAGCAGGAGGAATGTAATAAAATAATATTAATTGTTAGTTTTTCGGGAAACCAGGTTTATTAAAGGTTTTTAGTTATTCTATAAACAATACGAATGGTAGATGAATTAATGTGCTTCCGTTCATCGCCCAAGAAAGATACATATCAGGACTCCCATATCAGGACTCCCATATCTTTGTCTACAATATGGGTGTACTGCAGTTGCTGGGATATACAGGGTTACCCACAAAGGATGAAACTTCAAAAACGTTTTTACGGAATTTATACTCTTTCCTTGTATTCATGACTCCCTGTAGTTAAAAACTTCTTTCTTTCTTTGCAAAATCATCAAATAAGACATTTCAAGGCCACAATCAAGGCAGAAGACTTAATTCAAACTTTAAATCGTTATATTTCAAGATTTTCAAGTCGTCTTTACAGTCTCATTCTTTGTGGGTATTCCTGTTTATAAACGAATTCGGCCCCAGCAGCACGGGGGGGGGGTCTGAACAATTGCTTAGATTTTAATTTTAAAAATCAGAAAATAAAACTAATTTAAAGAAACCTAGCATAAAACAAGATTTCTTGTCAAAACATTGGTTTCTACAAAACTGCCAGACCCCGTTCATGAAACAGGGTTTCCGATTCGGGTTTCATTACGAGTCTCTGTCTTAGAATTCGGGTTTCATTACAAGTCTCTGTCTTAAGATTCGGGTTTCATTACGAGTCTCTGTCTTAAGATTCGGGTTTTGTTACAAGTCTTTGTCTTAAGATTCGGGTTTCGTTACAAGTCTCTGTCTTAAGATTCGGGTTTTGTTACAAGTCTCTGTCTTAAGATTCGGGTTTCGTTACAAGTCTCTGTCTTAAGATTCGGGTTTCCTTACAAGTCTCTGTCTTAAGATTTGGGTTTTGTTACAAGTCTCTGTCTTCAGATTCGGGTTTCGTTACAAGTCTCTGTCTTAAGATTCGGGTTTTGTTACAAGTCTCTGTCTTAAGATTCGGGTTTCGTTACAAGTCTCTGTCTTAAGATTCCGGATTTGTTGTGTTTAAATTCATGTTCGTAGAGTTCACATTTTAAACAAAGTTACGGGGGGTCTGAAAATTAGATTTATTTGATTTATAGAATATTAAATTTTTAATAATATGTGATAGCAATGTTTTGATGATAAATCAGACCACTTTTGTTAACAAGAAATGAAAAATTTATCGCAAATTTCTCGACACTTTTTAAAGCTTTTATTTTGAACTTAATGGCTGTTCAAACATTCAACATCCTTTGACTGCTATGATACAATTTATATATTTTAGGGCGAAATACTAATTTGCATTTCTTTTTGAAATTTGGAAAAAAAAGTTAAGTTTTTCTTCTCACTACCAAAACCTAAGCGATTCAACTAAATTCTATCATGCCTCTGGTATAGTTTCATTTCCCATTATATGGGTTCTTCAAAAAAAATATCTTCGCTGCTTGTTCTTGCCTTTTGTGAGTTATTAAACATTAAAAAGTCAAAATTCAAAAAAATTGTGAATTTAGTGTTTTTGGCGTTTTTTCCAAGTTTTGAGTGGTAATCCCTCCAGAAAATATATGAAAGTTCTTTCTAGAAAATATTTATAAGTCCTACTCTAGAAAATATATAAAAGTCCTTTCTAGAAAATACATCAAAGTCCTTTCTAGAAAATATATCAAAGTCCTGCTCTAGAAATATATGAAAGTCTTACTCTAGAAAATATATGAAAGTCCTACTCTACAAAATTTATGAAAGTCCTACTCTACAAAATTTATGAAAGCCCTAATCTAGAAAATATATGAAAGTCCAACTCTAGAAAATATATGAAAGCCTTACTCTAGAAAATATATAAAAGTCCTTCTCTAGAAAATATATAAAAGTCCTACTCTACAAAATATATGAAAGCCCTACTCTGGAAAATATATAAAAGTCCTTCTTTAGAAAATATGTAAAAGTCCTACTCTACAAAATATATGAAAGCCCTACTCTGGAAAATATATAAAAGTCCTTCTCTAGAAAATATATGAAAGTCCTTCTCTAGAAAATAAATAAAAGTCCTATTCTAGAAAATGCATGAAATACTCTAGAAAATATATAAAAGTCCTACTCTAGAAAATACATGAAATACTCTAGAAAATATATAAAAGTCCTACTCTAGAAAATCCATAAAATACTCTAGAAAATCCATGAAATACTCTAGACAGTGCATGAATTACAGATATTTTGCCTCTATTAACAATAACCTTGTGTTGTGTATAAGTGGAAACTAATTGCAATCCCATGATTAAATACCGGATATATTTATATTCCAGCCATCTACAAACTATATAGATTGGAATCCCATGATTAAATACCGGATATATTTATATTCCAGCCATCCACAAACTATATAGATTGGAATCAATATTTCATATTTTCTTCTTAAAAGGAATGTAGAAATCATACTTAAAGGGACTGTAAAGGAAAAATATACCTATTTTCCCAAAGGCTTAAAAGCCCTCCCCCCCTTCCGTTAATCTTAATTAGCCCCCCCCTTCCGTTAATCTTAATTAGCACAAACGATTAAGATTTAACGTGAATAACTTATGAACTCTAATCCAAAATTTGTTTCAACATAATTCCTTATTTGAAATTGTGAATTCTGTATAATATCAAAAAGTTGGAGTAAAAATTTCAAACACTTTACCATCAGATATCAAAGATTTATAGACATAAAAAAATTTGATTTCGGGCCAGTAGTTAGTTCCTTTCCGTTGGCAACTAAAATGATTGTTTACCCCTGAGTCAGAAAAGTGTAACAGTAGTAATATTATTATGTTTTAAAGAATGCAATACGTCCGACCATAAATAATAAATATTGTAATAACGAAAAATGTTCAGGACAAATTGCAGAATCGCATGATCAGAAGAAAATATCGAAATTCTCATGAATTTCAGCAAAAAAAACACGTTTTGATTTCCCAGTAAAGTGTAATTTTACGCAACTCTCAATTCCAAACAATTGAATTTAACTTTAATGGACAATAGACGTATTTACATGTGACTCTGCACTTATAAAGTGGGATAAATTCACAAGGGTACCCTTCTTTTCTCTATCTTAAAATTTATAATATTCCTATTAAAGTAACGATGTAAATCAGACATCTGAAAATGTGGCTCACATAAAAATACGGCTGCGGCCTCTTTAAAAACCATTTTCTTTTTCTTGTGATATTAATATTATTATTACTTTCTGCAGAAGCACTCTACGCAGTCCTAATGATACAAGTCCATACAGACTCAGGTACTTTATTACAGACATAAAAGGTAATTATGATAAAGGGATTGTCCCCCCCCAAACACTTTTGAAATTGTTTTCATCTATATTTGTTGTTTTTTAAATAGAATTTTGCGTCTGCTTACCTTTGAAAATAATGAGCCAACTTTTGAGTCTGGTCCATATAGTATTTGGCAAAATCCTATTTTGCGTCAAAGGAATTGATTCTTTTTCCTAATCCCTTAATCTGTGCAACCTGATGGTGTAAACCTTTGATTTTTTATACTTAGATTATTTGATTAAACGAATCTAATGCTTTGAAATATCTTTAAGGTCTATTACATTGGGTTGCAAAGAAAAATAGGAAAGTTTGTTGAAAGACTCAACCTTTGACATATTTTCCAAGGGTCTAACACGGGCTCAAAAGTTAACGCAGAAAATAAAAACTTCTCACTTTGGGAATTAACGCCAAGGAGATTTTTCGCGAACTCTCCCTTAATAATGTTAACGGTCAAAGAGAGAAAGAATTTTTGTTTAAAAATGTTAGACTTTATGTTTATTTTAGTTCATCGCGAGAGGGGACCCCCCGATACTCGAGAAGGAAAAACAAAAATCATTTTTTTATCTAAAAAAATATTTCATACTTTTTAAAATTTAATGGTAGTTTTTAAAATTTTGACTGATTTAGCTATAGTGGTAGGCGATTATATCAATACAATGAAGACTACTTTTGATTACAATTTTTTTATGTCAAGCTATAAAACAGCATGGATACACATAAACATAATAGTCAAGAGAAGCTGTCAATTAAAGCAGCTTCTCTTTGTTTACTTGTAAAGCTGTATTTCGAAAAAAAGCTTGTTAACAATCAAAACATAAATAAAAAAGTCGCCTTCATTGTATTGATATAATCGCCTACCACTTATTATACTAAAAAATAAGAATATCTTTATAGCTAGTAACCTAAAATAATAATATTTGTTGATATTATTGTTTTAACACAATGAATAATATAGATATCGAGTTTAAAAAGTGTTTTCTTTCCTCCATGTTGTTTCTGAATTAAAATAAAACAAAGTTCCTAAAGAAAAACAACAATTAAAAATAACAAACTTTTAAAGAGAAAATAATTGTTTTCTCATTCATTTTTGATAAGAAAACCTTTTAAGGCACCGTTGTAAGGTCGGCCATGCAACTTTGAACTTACGTCCACAGCAAATACAATACAAAGTACAATAGATCCTAGTACAATAGATCCTAGTACAATAGATCCTAGTACAATAGATCCTAGTACAATAGATCCTAGTACAATAGATGGCAACGTAGAATTTGTACACTCTCAATACAGCTGTATTCTGACGTCACAAGTGTCAACTCAGTTTTTCTGTCCGACAAAATAAAGTGATAATTTTAGAATAAAGTGATTATATTACAGTAAAACGAGTGCAATTTTATGTGTTCCTTATTTTCTGTTTTTACACTGTTTTATTTAATCTAGGAAAACATGTCAACTAATGTGAGACAATTTCGTTTTCCTTGTTATATTTGACACTTGTGACGTCATGTATAATTGGTCCATTTCTCTGCTGCCACCTATTGTGCTTGATAATTTATTTGGTCCACAGTAACTTTAATCTTTATTAGAAATAAAATAAATTAACATAGAAAATTAAGGTTAAAGTTTTTTTCTAGCTTTTCAAGTGCAGGGAAGCTGTGACGTAAAAATGGCGATATATTTTCTGTAGGGGGGGGGGGGGGGGAAAAAAAACAGTTGGGACATAAAATAATATATTCAAAAATCTTAAAAGAATTTCAATTGATTGAGTTTGAATGAGGAATGCAAATAAGTGACACCAGGAATATAAAAAAACATTATTTATTTTCCTAATCTTTCAAAATGATTTATTGTTAAAGAGCAAGAATTCTGAGAACTCAATCAGTGTGCGGAACCATTCCAAAGGAATATTATTATTATTACTAATAATGACACCATATGGAGGCTTATGGCTGATCAAAACTGAAAATGTTGCTGAAAAGACCGAATTTTTAGATATTAGAAATGTAGTAAAAAAAATTCGGACTTGTAAAACAATATTTAAGCGCTAAAACTGTTACCAGAAGAAGAAATGCCTCAAACCCAAAAAATTTAATATATTGACACCTATGCTTTTATATTTTGACATTTTTAAGTGATTGCTGTACATCCAAACTTTTAGATATTTTACAATGGGATAATTTTTTTTAAATGGGCCATTTCTTTTTTGTACTGATGTATAAATATTTTGCTAATATTTGTTAACATCTAATTCATATTTGTTAAGGACATTATATACAGTAAAGAGTAAGTTTTAGCAAATTACGATAAAAAATTTCCTTTCTAAAAGTAAAAATAGACCATTAGTAGAATGGGGGTTTGAATGTAGCATACAGATTTATTTGAAAAATCCTACAATTCTACATAACTTTAAAGCTAAAAAAAGGTAAATAATTTTATTGTTTAAAATAATGGTACAATTGGTGTGCACTTTTCCCATTAAATGTAATGGCCATTCGACTAAAATCTAAATTACAAGGTGAGAATGTTTTTTTTGCATTAAAATTTGCAAGCTACAAAACTAAGGGGGGGGGGATATATACATTTTTCCCAATCTAATAAAGAAAAAACAATTATTAGTCAATCCTTCTATAAAAATATTATATATATCTAATTATACACGTAAAAATAATGATTATAACAATAATAATAATAATAATGATAATGATAAAGAGGCCCCCACCTTTATCCAGGAACCCCAATAACAAGATGAGAAGACAATATTCAGACAGGAAAGAGTACATATTAGTTTTGTACTGTACAATGTACAGACTTTTATGTGTAATGCTTGTACATAACTTAAATTTGGTTTGTTTGTTGCTTTCTTTTTTTATACACCAAAAATACGTTAAAAGGGCAGAATCGTTCGGGCTAAATTTTTATATGGTAACTTTGGTTGGGGAACTCTGGAGGCCCCAAGGGAATATTCTTAGTTCGTGGTTTTAAGATTCTAAATTGAGTTGATCGATTTTTATAGCAAAAATTTAGTTTCCCGGTAAAATCGTTCAATAGTAACATAGTAACTTTTACTAACTTGGCAACATACTCTGAATCAGATTAATACAAACCTTTATCAAATACATAATACCATAATACCAGTAAATACTAGATATTCAATAATATCTTTTCATAACATTTTTTCTTATAATTTTTAGATGAAAAAACACAAGAATTTCCCCGACAAAGGAGTGCGAGATGAGCGGCAGTAACTCTTCAAATAAAGAGTTACTTGACAGGGAATAGGAATAAAGGGAAGGACAATGGCGCTGGTTTGGCCTGAGAAAGCCAGTCGCACTGCTTTGCAGACGAGTTCGGTATTACACACGCACACTTTTTTGGTACAGACACACAATATGACTACAGTCAAGAAATTGCAGAACAATGTTGTCAATTATAATTAAGCTTGAACAACGACTAGTTTATTGTAAACTTTAATCAAATTATATTCTTTGCATGACAATTTGGCTTATAGTGTTGACTTAAATATATAAATAATATACTACATGTATATTAAACTTATTTTCAAGAAAAAAATTAACAATAAACAAATGTACTCTCCTAGACTCAAATACCGAGATTCGTATGAATTGTATTTACCTACAGTGCACGCCTTCGGTTCGGTATTCTTTACATACACTCTTTTGGCACAGACACACGCACATGACGTTTCCGCCCCCTGTTACTTGAAGTCGAATTAACAGTTCCAATTTAAAGCACTAGGTTTGAAAAAAATTGAATATATTAAATATTAAGTTGTCATGTCATCTCCAGGATTCTAATCAAATATTTAAGAGAAGGAAAGTAATCTGAAACCGTAGACAGGAAATATAACTTCAGAACCATCATACAGAGTTACCCGCACCGGATGAAACTTTAACGGCAACCTTATAATTCTTAGATACAGCATAAATTAATTTTTCTGTCTAAAATACAGTCTTTTAATGGAATATTTTAAGATTTTGAGCTGCAAGGAAAATCATAAAAAGATTTCCTTTTAAGGGTCTGCATTTGCGAAGATTTTGATTTAAGAAATCAGAAAACATAAAAATATTGTAATATTTCTTAACAAAAATATTGGTATCTACAAAACTGTCTGACCCCATTCATGAAACCGGGTTTCCGAAACTGGGTTTCATTAGGACAATCTGTCTTTTGTTTTTGGGCTTTGGAGTAAACGATTGTCAACAAAGTACATTAAAATGTAGTACACTATATGAACATTGTACACTGTACAGTACTTTTTTACAAAACAATATGTACTGTACTGCAGGCCTGTACGAAAGCATAGATACTTTCTAAGTGAGGATTATGGTAAGCAAGAAACAAAAAAGTTTTTGGTCAGCACTTTTAAAAGATATTTTATTAATATGTGAACTTTTTACTCATATCAAAAAAGTTTAGTTTAAATATAGCACGTCTCAAATCAGAAAAAAATGTTTAATTCTTTAGTTCTATTATATAAAAAAACGTCTTTCAATTTAACACTATAATTCCAAGAGTAAATGTCCGAAACAGTACAATAGAGTCCAGCAGATTCAACCAAAGTCTCAAATGGGTAAAACAAAGTCCTTACTGGGTGAAAAAAAATGCTAAAAAGGAGTACAATAAAGTAAAAAACAAAGTTTAAAACAATAAACGCAAATAGGATCTCATATATGTGTATTCCCAAGGAGATATTGAATAGAAGGAGGGTACGATAGGGTTTCCGTACTCTTTGCTGTGATGTCTTTGGACTGCTGAAGAACTATAGTTTTTGTTTAACAAGAATAATAAAGATTGTAAACAATAACACAAATGATAAACTGTAAACAGACATCTAGGGGGGGGGGGGCAGGAAAACCTTGAATTTGATTGAAAATGTCTCTGAAATAAGTTCCTTTTCGTCTAAAACTAAAATCCTTAACTTTTTTAATTTTTTCAACAAGATAATTCTACTTGCACAGTTTACTAACTCATGTTTATTTACATTAGATAGGCTGCCTTTGTTATTGTTGTTACGCAAAAACTATAAGTTCTTCAACAGTCTAAAAACGTCACAGCAAAGTGTACGGAAACCCAATCGTCCCCTCCTTCTATTCAATATCTCCTTGTGTATTCCTAATGTGTACAAGTACGTATGATCCAGTCTGCCATAAAAAGTTGCATCAATATCAAGGATGGGTCGCAAAAGCCTTGTCCTATAATTTTACTAGTATCTCATGGAAACATGATTAATATACTTTCTTGCATCCCTAGACTTGAGCGTTTTATGACATTAAACCCTTTGTTTTCTGCTTAATTTTCTAAAAAGATATTCGCAGAGTTTCATGGATTTTTGTGAGAAAGCTCGTAACCTTTGTATCTCACTGGATGAAAAACATCTTTCTTTTTCCCAAAACTGTTTGATTTAAACAGTTCACCCCGAACTAACCAGAGTGAGAAGCATTTGGTTTCTTTCATTTGAAATAAAACGTGTTTTGGTCTATAATTCAACACTCTTTAAACTTACGGATTTGTTTATTTTATACTTTTTCATTCAAAACGTTTATGCCGAAAAAAAGTAGTTGTGAAAAAAGGTTAAAAAATTATGTATTTAAGGGGTTTAATTGTGATCGAAAGTCGCAGCTTTCTGAAATATTGACAGAACCGTTAAATTCACGGGAGTTGAACTAAATATTTTAGAGCCTGCATCTATTTCTATTGAAATCGATTCCTTTGATTCTCCGACAATGTGTGGATCAAGAAAATCCTCTGTCTACCAGCTCCTCTCGGAGAAAATAGAGGTAAAAACTTTACTTCGATAGCATGCCCTCCCACCCCCGCATGCCCTTGCCCTCTCGCACCCCCCCCCTTTATCTGCATTAAAGAGAGTGTATACGTAACTTCATTGAACCAAGAAAATGGCATGTCTAATTCACAATAGTACCCTTCAAACCCATAATCTGATCAATAATGTGGAAGATATTGGCAGTTTTCTGAAAAGGTATTTCAGATGAACCAAGATTGAAAATTATCAATTTGCAGTTCGTAAACATAAATATTTCGCTACTACTTGATCTAACAAAGGTTTCACCCTTGTGAATTTGACTTTGCACTCTTTAGAAATTATGCGTACAGTCCCTTTAAGAATAATATTATCCCCGGCCCCATGCCAGTTTTACTAAGACATGGAAATTTGAAAATTTCTTTTGCACTTTAACCAATTCAAAGAGAATAGAATATATATTAGAGTGGAATTTACTGGAAAAAAGTGTAAAACGGCAATTTTGTTGTACTGTTTCCATACTGCAGGTGTACTTCAAATATTTGTGCTGTATAAACTTTTGGGCCCTGGAACATCATTTTATAGAAAATCTAAAATTAATATTAAAAGAAAACCAACTTATGAAATAGGCTGGTTTTATAATTGACCAATGATCCTTTCACATAGACTCTGTGCCTTTCACTTTACAAACGATGATTTTCCGTTATACCTATAAATCAAATTATGTTTTTTATTCACCTAATTCATTTTATAAATTTTATTTAACAGCTTTAAAAAATTCGAAATTGAAATGGATATCCTAGGGAACACACTGTATTAATGTACTCTACTGCATATAATTTGTGAACATTTAAATGATTTGCACTTTGAACTCCCTTTCTTGCTGAAAGGGACTGACAAAATTCATCCCGAGGGATTGTCTAAATTGCACTCTAATATATATGCTATTTTCTTTGCCAATTAGAGCTTTTCATCTCAAATGCACAAGATTTGATTTTGGAAACTAGCTTTTTCAATAATGAAATAGGCTCTGTGGGAGAACATCTGTATTACTTTGATGCATTGTATGCAAACAGTTTCAAGTTGGACTAACTTAAACAAAAAGATTTGAACAAATCTGATTTTGGAAACTTTCAGTTTTGAAAGGTTACGTCAAAGTTTTCAAATTAAACTAAGTATGTTTCACAAATGATAGGCAAAAAGTGATGGCGTCATTTTCAAATTGTGTGTGACCCTCCATTTCAAAGGTGCACTGCCTATTTACAACGGTACCCTCTTATATCTTTATTTGATTCGCAACTATTGTGTCGATACCAGCTGGAGAATAGTGTCTGACTCTCACAATATCCTAAATTGATTCCGTAGCAAAAAAAATGCAATTCTCTTCTAAAAAAACATCGATTAAAAATACCCATTATTATTTCGTTTCTTCTTGACCACGCAAAGCATTACAGGATACTACTGTGAATCGGACATGTCATTTTATCAATGGATAATCACTTAAAATTATATTAAGAGTCACTTTTTAACTTTTAAAAGACTTTTGAATAATCTGAAAATTCAAAATTGTTTTAAAGCTGGACCAATTTTTCAAATAGTTGTTTAAAAAACGATTGAAAAACGATTGATGAAGAGCGAGGAATAGTTGAAATTCAGTCTACGTTTCTGATAAAGATTGATGTCGGTTTAAATCGAAGTATATGAAGGATAAAATTCTAAATTATTCTTATGTGAGTGAGGAGACTCAAAGGAAGAATTTTATGCATGAAAGAATTTCTTACGATAAGAGAAGAAACTGTTGAGACACAGGGTGTCTTAAAGATATGGGTTCAGTCTTAATTATTTTTGTGTTCTAAGGGAGTATGAACGGAATTTTAAGTGACTCTCAATGTAAAGAGATGTTAATGCTTGAAGCCACAACGGTACTCATGAAAGCTTTGTTTGATCAAGTATGGCTTAGATATGATTTTCAAAGCTGATTATTATTTATTATGGCTTCCCTACAAAATTTTGCGCATTTCTACTGCAGGAAAACAGATAGGAATTATTAGAAATAAATACTTTTAAATCTGGAAAAACGACAATATATTTCATATTATTGATCAGATAAAGGTTTTGAGGGTACAGTTGTTAATCGGATATAGTCATCTTTGCGTCAGTTAAAAGCACGTTTACACTTACAAGCATGAGATTAAAATGATCCTAAAAAATACACGAAAACTCTTTTCTCAAAATAAATGACAACGCCCCCGCCTTCCCCCCCCCACATCCCAGAAAGAAATATAAGCGATTTCTCGAATAGTCGTTTCTTGTGAATAGATGATTTAGAACATCCAGGCCGGGGGGTTACTGATGACAGTAATAAATGTCCTGCTGAGATTTACAAAAATATGCCTAAAATGTTTATTTAAACTATTCTATTCTAGAATTGGAACTGAAAAAACACACAGTGGCATGTCCAAGTCACAATGATACCCTTTAAGTCTGATCTATGTAACAGTTTAATGTATTCAACGAATTCAAGAATTTGTCATGTACACAATACATTATTTAACAGTATAACAAGGAAATACTTTTTATTCATCTTTGAACTTTTTAATATTCTGTGAGTGTGAAATGCTTGAATTGCTTTAACGTGCTCTGTACATTTTTAAATAAATATAACTAGTCCAAAACTTTTAAATAAATATGACTAGTCCAAAACTTTTAAATAAATTTGACTAGTCCAAAATTTTTAAATACATATGACTAGTCCAAAATTTTTAAATAAATATGACTAGTCCAAAACTTTTAAATACATATGACTAGTCCAAAACTTTTAAATACATATGACTAGTTCAAAACTTTTAAATACACATGACTAGTCCAAAACTTTTAAATACACATGACTAGTCCAAAACTTTTAAATAAACATGACTGGCCCAAAACTTTTAAATACATATGACTATAGTCCAAAACATGACTAGTTCAAAACTTTTAAATAAATATGAATCGTCCAAAACTTTTAAATAAACATGACTGGCCCAAAACTTTTAATAAATATGACTAGTCCAAAACTTTTAAATAAATATGACTAGTCCAAAACTTTTCAACAAATATGACTAGTCCAAAACTTTAAAGCGGTTCCCTGATTACTCGCCTTCACAGTGGAAACTATACAACTTTGGGATAGAATGACAAATGAAAGCAATTCAATGTTTATTTTATGTTGTTTTCAAGCAAATAGTTTTACACCAGATGCTGAAAATAATCACCTTTTTTGCTGCTGCTATGAAAATTTTTAGTACTGGATTACTTTAAAGTGCCGCAAAGTCTTGACCTTAGATTCTCCTCATTAACTAACTTAACCCCTTTTTTGTAGCTCTAGGCATGAACACTTTAGAAACTTAGAGCACTTGTTTATCTTCAGTTTTTAAGAAGTAATTAACAAAATTCTCATCAATATTTGCTTTCAAGAGTTCTTGCAGATCTGGACACTTTCGACCTTTATTAGTTTCGGATTGATTTAGTTGGTTTAGTTAATTTATTAACGTGTGAAGAAGTTAAAGGGACTGTAAGCGTAATTCCAAGTAATTCTCCCTGTAGAGAGGGCAATGCCTGATTAAAAAAGCATTATTTTACGTCGAAAGTGGGTTTAAATATTTGACAGTAAATATATTGTTGTTCTAGAAAGTAACTATTAATATTTTTAAATATACAAAATCCGAATTTAATTAATCTAAGCCTCGTCTCAAATCCCCTAAAACCGGTTTCAATTAAGCGCCGGCTTAAATCTTGAAAACTTTAATACAAAACTTTAAAACCAACCATATTTGAGCCACGGCATAAATTTAAGCCGCGGCTAAAACTCGGCCTCTGGAATTATACCGCAATTAAAAGCGATTCAGTAGATTAAAAAAGCTATGTCCAATATCCAAGAGCAATCAAAGGCTTAAGGGTGCTGTCGGGAATCGTAAAGTTGCAACAAAGAGAGAGGACCCCCCTGGAAGCCTATGTGTATAATTATTGCAGAAATGAGAATGAGATTTTCAAAGATTTGTTGATTTGTTGATTTGTTATCCTAAACTTTACAAACTTGCTTTCTTAACTTTATTGTAAATGTATCTAAAGCTTTCTAAACCTTCAAGCTTCAGTATCATCTGCAGGTTAAAGCCCACTCAGTCGGGGGGGGGGGGGGGGGGGGCTGTCCAAAATGTTCTCTGTCCACGGGACCTTACTGAAAAATATGTTTTTCATGGAAAAATGATTTATTCTTCTGTATAAAGGGGGTAAAAGTAAATGTTAAAACTGTCATCAATTTTAAATCTAATAACATAAAAAATGTGACATTATTCGTTACTAAAAATAAACAAATAAAATTTAAGGCCGGTTCTAGAAAGATGACTCTTAAGAGTGGTATAAGAGCGGTATTAGCTAAAACCGCTCTTATACCACTCTAAACGCTAATACCAGTGTTTAGGAAATTTTCTTTCTCAAGAAATGTAATTTATTTGAACCATAATATTTCTTTAATTTAAATTTAGTTGAAGAGATAAACATCGATTATTGAATTCTTCTATGAATTATTAATCTTTCATCATAAACAAAAAATAAATTATCAAAAGTCGTCTTCAATTATTAAAAACATTTGTACTGAGTTCAGTGCTCGAGCATGCGCTAAAAAGGCAAATGAATTGAGTTTTTGTAACAAACTCTGGTTTTCTAACTCCTATATCTTTTTAACCCAGTGCAGTAGGCCTTTGATATTTCAAACTATGAAATATGTGAAATTAAATAATCCAAGTTTGAAATATCAAAGGTTAACACCAACCGGTTCCAGAGATATTAGGATTAAAACATTTAAGTTTGTGGCAAAAACTCAGATCCTTTCTAGAGAATGGATGATAAAACCGGTATTAGCTAGGATGACTAAAGAACTCTTCAGCTGTTCTATGCTAGATAATCCTACCCCGAATTAGGCAGCATTAGCGTCTAAAGAATCCGAATTTCTTAAACACTGGTATTAGCGTTAAGAGTGGTATAAGAGCGGTTTTAGCTAATACCGCTCTTATACCACTCTTAAGAGTAATCTTTCTAGAACCGGGCTTAAATCTACCCTGCGGGTGGATTTGCTAACACCGCTCTTAGTAAAACTGGCATTTTTGTTAATACCAGCATTAACACAACTTATGAACGCGTAGGGTAGATGATCTAGCCTAAATCCTACCAACCAAGATTAGTTAAGAGCGCTATTAAGGTTTCTTGAACCGGCCTAAGATGTACAAATTGTGTTCGCTAAAACGTGTACTGCACAAGTGATTTCCGGCTGATATGCTATTTCCTTTCAGGGCTCTCTGAATTTTGAATTATCTTTTTGAACAGGGTTTGCTAAAACATTTTCTAAAAAACTTTATACGTGATGAATCTATAAATTTAAAAGGTTTTAAAACTGACGTTTTTCTTTATTTTCAGGAGGAACCTGAAGATAAAGATATGGAAGGGAAAATGAGGTATGTCACCATTCAATAATAATTTCATATTTTTATTCAACTACAAAGCATGAGATATAACAAACAAGCAATCACAATTGTACTATGCAACCTGGACCCGTCTAACCAGTTGTTGGTTGTTTTTAGTGGTTGGTCCTAAGTTAGTTAACGATAATGAAGGTAGAAGATTGTTAGGTTATCTATGGCAGGGTGAGATCAGAGGGATTAATGAAGATAAATTAAAATACAGGATGTATAAAGGATAGTGGATACACAAACACAAATAAGCCAATAAAGTTTCAGTTTATATTTAGATATTTATATAAAACCTATAATACATGATATACAACTAGCTTTTTCGCATTAAAACCCTCTCATAATTCTCAAGATAAATAATGATTACTCTTTCTTTAAATATTTTTGCAGATTTAGTTTTTTTAAGATCAATTTCAATTGCATTCCACAATTTAAGAAACATTGCGGACGGAAAGCTTTATAAATTTTTGTTTAAAGCCCGTTCTAATTTATATAATTTTGTTCTATTCGGTTTAGCTAGAGACTTGAATATATTTTGGAAGGAAGAGGGAAGGTTATTTTTAAAGTATCCATGCATAAATAAGAACACTAAGGTTGTATGTATCATCAAGATTAAGAACTTTCAGTTTTGAAAATAATGGATTTGAATGTGCCTTGAAAGTACTATTATTGGCCGCTCTGATTGCCTTTTTTTTTGCAAAGATCTGATTTTTTGCAGTTTAGAGTTTTTAACCCATCCCTAAGTAACAATTCCATATTCAATATGAGGCCTTACAAAGGAGTTATAAACAAGTAGACGAATGTTTACTGGCAAGATGTATTTAATTTGAGACAAAGCAAAGATTAAGCTAGCAATTTTATTCGAGATATGTTCAATTTCGTTGATCAAACTTACAAAAATAATTTCGATACTTTTTGCGCGAAATTGCAAACAGAACGTTAGAGATATAAAAAGTACTTGAATCTTTGCCCCAAACTCAGATTTTAAAATCCCTGTATCTTTGTAACCCAAGATCTTAGACTTTAGATATTTCAAACTATGAAATCTGTATTGTTAGATAAAATATCTAAGTTTGAAATATCAAAAGTTTACACCTGTAGCAAGTTACAAAGATATTCGAATTAGAAAATTTAAGTTTTCTGAAAGACTCAATTCTTTGTGAGATATTCTGAACAATTCTGTTCATTGTTTAAGCTAATGTTTTTTAAATGACTAGGAAAACTAGTTTCAGGGTTCTTTGCTTTTTATAGAAATATGGCTACTTGTCTGTTCATTGTGCTATACTATGTTTTCTATCAAATTTTATATCTTAAAAAAAGTAAAAAGGAAAGAAATGATTAAATTAATTAGAACCTGTAAATAAACATTTAACAAAATATAAATTGAAGAGGATTGTTTTTAAAAGATGAAAGAGGTATAGACTGAGATTAATTTCGTTATCGGTCGCTATACCCAAGGTAATAAGGCAAGGAAAGTTAATTGCTGTTGCGTATTCTCTGCGTACATATGTAAACCAGTTCTTTCTGGGCGGTGATTGTAAACAAGAAGATGTCTCAGTGTACTTTTAGTATCCGAGTAGGATAAAAACTTTTCATCATTCTAAAATATATTTTCAATCGAATATTTGATATATACTTATATATATTTATATAAGTCAGTATAGAAATCATATATATTTATATAAGTCAGTATAGAAATCATCATCATTGGTGTACTGTCAGGGACTCCAAAATTTTATTGAAAACTGCAAGAATTTTATCGGAGACCCCCAGATTTTCATCGGATACCCTATGGTGTTCATCAGCGACCCTCCAGATTTTTAGTGGAGAAGACAAACTTTTCATCAGAGACCCCCAGAATTTTATTGGAGATCCCACGTTTTTCCTCAAAGACGAGTAGATTCTCATTGGAGAATCCAATCTTTTTATTGGAGACCCCATGCTTTCTGATAAAATTTGGGGGTTTTAGATGAACAACAGGTGTCTTTCGTGATATCTGAGGGGTCTCCAATGAAAAGATTGAAGTCTTCAATGGGAATCTGCTGTAGTGTCTGAGGAAAAACATTGGGTCTCCAATAAGATGGCCTTGCGGGGTCCCTTTAAAAGAGGGTCTCCAATGATGATGATTTGGATCAAAAATATATCAATATAACAAAAATAACCACAATTTTTAAATCTTTGAAATAATAATATTGCTGTAATTTGATGGTCTTGGCATAATATATATATTATATTATATATGTATATAATATATATATTATATTATATATGCATATAATATATATATTATATGCATAATTCATATTTTATGCAAAATGTGTATATTGCTCAGTATTTATTGAGCAAATATACTTTGTAAAATTAAACCTGTCGTTTGAAACTTAAATTATACATATCTACATGGCCAGTAGTAAATTATTTATATTTTTATGACAGTTATAATTGCAACCTTAGTTTGTTTTGCCTCCATGCAATAACTAGGACGAGGGAGGGAACCCCCGGACTCCATGAGCCTCCGCTATGAAGACATCGAGCCTCCCAGATATGCTAGGCATCAAGCCTAGCTCCACTATGCAGAAATGAGCATGCGCAATACATCAAAATGTGCCTATGTAATACAGGAGGTTTTCTAAAACTTGTGTTTAAAGTTTAAATAAAAGACGTTTTTTTTAAATTTTTTGACAAAGTGGGATGAGAGGTTTCTCTTAGATGAGAAGTATTTATCAATTATCATAAATAGTGCCTAATTATGACTGATTAAGTGGTATACACAACTTTAAACATTTTTTAAATATGAAGAAAAATATTTAGAGAAAAAAAATGAATTCTATTTCATTTCATCTTTTATATTCTTTGATTTAAGCGATACCTTTCTTGTAGTTTAAATTAAATCTAGAAAATGTGTATCGTTTATATAAATCTGAACATTTGTCATAGAAAGGTATTGTTTAAATCAAAAATTATAAAAAAAAACTACATTTACTCCAGAAATATTTCTCCAAATATCTTCATTTCTAGCTGCGTAAGAGAAGGTTAAAATTTTAATATAAATCTTATAAACCACTTTATGAGTTCATATATGTTTCTAATCATGACAACAGGGGCGGATATAAGGATTCTGTAGGGGGGGGTAAATATTTTTAATTTGGCGCGCGAAGCGCGCCGAATTTTTTTTACCCCCCCCTAGAAATTTTTTTACCCCCCCCTAGAAAAATATCATGATGTATATCAAATTATTGGTTTTAATTGGGGTTGATTTGCATTTTCCACTCATTTCTGGGATTTACAAACTCAATCTAATAAAGGCTTCATGACATACCTTTCAGCTTTCACCTTGTTTTNAGGGGGGGGTATTTACCCCCAGGATTCTAGGGGGGGGGGTAAATAACCCCAATAACCCCCCTTATTTACGCCACTGCATGACAATTAATAAATAACTCTAATCCACGGTAAAATTATTATGCCACTACGTCAAAAAATGTTAAATTTGTCGTTACACATAAAAACCAGGATTTAAAAAAAGCTGTGCTGTATGGTGGAGGCTCGTTTACTGCATAGTGGAGGCACAGTCTGCATTGTGGAGGCTTGGTCTACCTAGCAAATCTGGGAGGCTCGATGTCTGCCTTACGGAGGCTCATGGCGGGGTTTCCTCCCTCCTAGAACTGCTTAAAGTTGAAAATATTGATTTCTGGAAGCTTGTTTTAAATATTTAACATTCTGAAATGCTAATTAGTGACATTTAAAATAAACCATCAAAATACACATATTAAACAACACCCCCCCCCCTCCTGCTCCTTTCTTATTTTAATGATTTTATACAAAGCATGGTAATATTTCCATGTCCCTTTATCCAATGATATAGTTCAATTAATATTAAAGAGGAAGTTGAATTTTATTTTATTTTTTTCAGAAATGGTAAAGAAGGAGAGTCTGAAATGCTAGCAAACGGGATTGTCCAAGTTCATAATTTTGAAACTTCCACTTGTCTTGGGGTTACAGAGGACACCAGTCCCACGCGCCGACTAGATATACTCAGAAACCGGTTACGGCTAAACGTGCAAGAAACTGTACTCTCAAGTCGGTGTGGGTCCAGTGAGCCGTTGAATCAGTTGTTAGATGGACCTAGCTCTCTAGATAGCACGGGGGGCTGGAATATATTCCAAACACAAGCTACTGTGGAACCTGTTCGTTCAAGGTAAAACTGCATAGACAGGGTTTCTAGCAAACGAAAACTTTCGCGAAAAAAATGCTAAAATGGATTTTGCAAAAGGAAGCGAAAATAAAATGCAAAATTTCCGGCATAAGACTTGAATCTTTGGCATAACAGATTTATGGGATATTCCCAGAAAAAAGCAACACACTTCGCATTCTACAAATAAAAAAAAAACTTGTCTGTTAAGTTAATTTTTTAACTTGTGGTTGTTTGAGACTTGGATGGATTTAAAAAAAATTATTTCAGTTTGGATAGAACAGACAGCCTTGTAGTAATGGTTAACTATCCGAGTGAAAAGATGTGTGCTTCAAGAAGAACAAGTTTATAAAAAAGTGATAATCATCCTGAGGGCAAAACTTTTGATTTGTATATCACTCTGGTTCAGCGACTGAACTTAATATCTATAATAGACAAACTTTAAAGCTGATAAAATTAACCTCTACAATTGCCATTAAACCTTTTCTGGAACATTCATGCCTACATGAGAGACAGAAAATTTGGCAAATTATAACATCCAATCATCACTGAGAGCTTGGAACAGCTGAGATTTGACAATAAGCTTTTAATTATCAAAGCTCTTTCTTGTTGAATCTGGAACAACATTCTGCGGCTACGGTTTTGCTGCTAACAGAAATTTAGATGGCTGAGACAATAAATGTTTGCCCTCAGCTCTGATGGGCAAGAAGAAGCTACTTTAAATTCACAGCACCCTCCTACTGGCACCAAAAGCTTAGATGAGGTTGATAGAGGTGATAGAATCAAAAAAATGGGTGCCTAATCTATTCGCGTAGAGTTTACATTCAGCAGTTTGATTGATCTTTTGTAACGAATACTTGAAGGGATTGTTAATATATTTCTTTTACATTTAATATTAATTGATTCATTATTTATAAATTTATAGAGTGACATGTCGAATTCACAATGGTACCCTCAAAAGCTCTTGCTTATCAAGAAAATTTTTATTTTTTTAATGCATGGTTTCTATTTTGTTTAAAGCGGCATCTAGCAAATTATTTTCTGATAAAAGTTGAAAGAATTCTGTTGTGAATCGACATTCCCCTCTTTTGATAGAAGTTTAAGAAAAATGATGACAATTCCTGTAAAATAATATTAGAGGAATTATTAAGTTTTACAGATGCTTTTAAATCAATAGAAAAACAAACTTTCGTGAATTTGCCTATATTTCTCTTCTGAGCTGAAAACTTTATAATAGTGGATATCTTCTCTTTTTGTTAATTTCTAGATTTTAATCTTAACCCTATATATATCTGGCCTTGGGAGGGGGAGGGGTCACCCCCCCTTTTATTTGAGTATTTGAGCTAGGAAGTTCAAATTTCCTGGTTTTTCTAACACATGCCCCTCAGTTAAGGTTAAAAGCTGGGCCTTGATACCTACTGCCTGAGTCCTCAGGCATACTGCCTAAATGCATTGTCTCTCCTAAACTAGAGTAATTCTATATATTTAGACTTACTTCCAGTCATTGGATTTCAACATTTATAGCTCTTTGAAAGCTATAACAAAAACGAGCAGATTGCACAAGTTATGCAAAGAAATTTTGCACAGTTTTTTGCATGGACGCCTTTAACTAGGGAATTTACACATTTTCAGTTTGTTTTTCTTGAATTTAGATTTTTAAAATTTATCAACTGCTTTTAAAAATGTATAATTTGTTGCAATTTGAGCAATTATTTTTGCTCATTTTTTGCTTTATAACTAAATTTCGCAATACATATTTGGATTTTTGCAAGTCATTGAAGTAGATCCCAAGTTTAGGGGGGGGGCAATTTTACACCCTCCCCCCCCCCACAAGTAGCCAGTCAGTAAACCGGACATCGGGCTAAATAGGGTTAATTTTGTATCAACAAAAGTGTTAATAACTCAACCAATCAAGTAGGATTTGGAGAAACCAGAACAGCCAATCATAGAAACCAGGAAATTAGAAATTTTGTGCGCCATGTAATGAGTGAAAGTAAGAGAAAAAGATAGAAAAAGAGCGGATTAAGAAGGTAATCAAAAGTGTCCACATTGGATATACAGATTAAGCGATCTTGATTATTGGCACTCAATTCTAAAGTTTTCAACTATGGAAAGATTATCCAGATTTGTTCTTGCTGTATTTCATAAGATTTTCTTTAAAAAAAGATTTAAAACTATTTTTAACTTAATGTAAAAATAAACAAAAAACCAAAATATCTATTCAGAAAATAATAATTTAAAAGTTTTCATGAAAAAACACAAAGATATATGCAGCTGAACAAGAAATATATTTAAAAAATAATGAAAATTAATATATTAATTCGTCGCAGAAGTCTTATCATTTCTTCTAAAAACCTGTATTATATAAAAAACTATCTCACTTTAATTTAACCTTTGTTTTAAAATTTATTATGTTGATCTTGAAACGGATAGATATCAATTTTGCAAACTTTGAATGAAATTGCCGATAAAACGGATAAATATCAATTTCGTAAAATTTAAATGCAATTTCCGATAACTAATTAAAAGCAATTGTTACCGGAAGTTTCTATTATTAAAAATCTCAATTTTTTTGTATCCTAAAACTAATATTTTATTTTAAAAAACTAATTGTATTTATTCAATAATTAATCTAAAATATACTATTTTAGTAAAAGGGAGAAAATTATTTTTTTAAATTTATTTTTATCCCAGGCATCTCTAAAAAGTCAGTATATTGCAATCTTGTCTTGAACTCCTATAAACAAAAAAAGCCAAGTTGGTAAATAGATTAATTTAAAAATTATATTTCAAATTTTTAACTTAATTTTAGTTTTATATTTAGTTTAATTTTTCTCATAAATGGAATTATTATGCTATAATAAATTGTTTGTTTTAATAAAAATTTACTTTTTGGCAATTTGTAAATATATCAAAGGATGTGAGCTCTCTAAGGGCTCTTGTTGGATAAATTGCCAAAAAGAACAGTTTCTTGATAAATATCCTCCCAGTCCCTCCCCCTTCTTTTTCAAATAGTATACTGACCAAGCTGTGGTGATGATACCTATCCAACATTCTAGCTTTAAACATTAAAGAATATATGGATATTGTTGATAAAAATGATTTAAAAGTTCGGAGTTATGTAGGACTGGTGAATATTCTGCAACCCTTCTTTATATACTTAAAGAAACATACTCTTTTTAGTATATATATTCTTGTTACACTTGTTCATAAACTTTTGTAAATTATTCCCCAGGTCGTTGATAGCCAATAACTTCGGTATGATATTTAACAAATAAATACTATTCCTGAAAAATCTAAAATCTTTGTCCATTAAAGTATTCAAAATTAAAATACATGAGAAACCTGACAAATTAGATAATTGAAATTTACATTTTTGGTCTGTCTTTAAAAGTGACTTACGGATTTATGAAAAAAGACAAAGAAGGAAATTATCCGAATTTCACTATAGTTTCAGTAGAAGTAAATATTTCCATTTACTGATAGCGCCGGTTAAAGGATTCATAACTCTAATTGGATAATGAGATAGATAGAAAGATATATGTTATACCGCCATACTATTTTTATTGGTTTAGAATAGACATCAAACACATGACTGAACCCTGATTGAATCCGGCGCTATTGGACTGGCATTCAGGAGACGTCAAATTGTTATTTAGATTAACAAGTAAATTGTTTCACGTGAATTGTGCTTACACTCATTGGTCACATAAAATCTTTCAGCGATCCCTTTCACAGAGATCTGAGCCTGGCAAAATTTACTCGAATAGTTTTGAGGATTCTATTCGACACTCAACAGAAATATACTGGTGATGGACATTGGAGTCAAAGAAGAAAAAGAAATGAATACTAATTCTTAACCATAAATCTTTAAAGGGAGTGTCTGGCTCACATAGATTCAGCCTGCTAATAAACAGTCTCATCAGTTTTTAAGACAGGGTTGACTTTGAAGTGTCGCAACTCCCTTAAGCTTAGATTCTACCGCTCTAACTCACTTATGCTTTTCTGTAGCCCTTTACATGTAAATTTTAGCACTGTAAAGCACTTGTTGTTAGCTTTGGTTTTTTAGAAGTAATTGGCAAAATTCTCAACAATTTAAGCTTGAGAGCGTGAGACCATTAAATCGCAGTGGGCTAGATATCCGGTAGTTGAATTGAGAGTGCAGTATTGTAGGATTCAGTTGAGACACCTTTACGGTATATGATTGTTTAGCCAGTGTTAATACAATTGTTTTTAATTAATTGACTAAGTTTTCAAAATTGAGAGTCTAGAATTGAGAATCCATGAGGATTTTAAAAATTTAATTTCAGCTCAACTACCATGCCTAACCGGATACTCCAACGAGGTTATGGTATATAGAGTGATTATGTACGCTAATCCTTTACTAATTGTACAGGGGTACCATGTACTCCACTGTCAAAGGTCAATCTGTTTATTACAGTACTCAGAGCCCGAAATTTAAAAGAGTATCGTTGAACGAAACTCCCGAGTTTCCTTTTTGGGGTCTTAACATTTGTGTAGATTTTGATTTAAGAGATTCGAAAAAAATGGAGAATATAAATCAAGTGAAAAAAATAATATTTTATTACAAAAATATTGATATTCATAAAACTGCCTAACCCCATTTGTGAAACCCGGGTTTTAAAACTGGTTTTCATAACGATACCCTGTCTTAAGTTTTGGGCTCTGGGGTGATTTCTGAAAATATTTTTTTTCATTTAAGCAGAAATAGGGTTTCAATCAAAAATAACTTAATCAAACTGTTGACATAATTTTAACTTTTCCGTTAAATAGAGAAGGATGTACGGTTCTGAGAAAACAGAGTAAAATTTAAGATACAAAACCTCCCCGTACACCGTACACGTGTACTCCGAAAGCGTACTGCATATTTGACGTTTGTACTGAATGAATAGGCCATCATCTTAATATACTTTATTGCAGTAAACTATCCTTTATAGGCGGATAATATGAGAGGAAAATATCCTGGAATAAAGAATACAGGGATATATTCAAATTTATCCATTAACCCTGAGGTAGATACAGGGTGTCCCAAAAAACATGGGAATTCAGTGACGAATCGTATATCGTCTTTGCTGTGAATAAGCATTGTAATACCTAATTTCAAAAGCCATAATATTATTATGTCTGCTAGAGTTTATTTTATGAAGATGGACAAGTTTACTCGGTTTGTATACTGCAATTTTCTTGTTTTACTAAGTACAACTGTATGGAGTCAAAACATAAACAAACAAAATGTAAACATAGCAGACGAAACTCTTACAGATTACAGCTTTCACAGTAGGTATCACTATACTAAATCAAAGAATTATTTGGAAAGACGATATCGAATTCGTCACTGAATTCCCATGTTTTTTGGGAGACCCTGTAGTATAGGAGACATTACTGTTACAACTTTGTGACCTCGTCATTCTTCTATTTTACGCACAAGTATATTGGAGCTAATTTATCCAGATATGACTCATGTATTACAAATTCAGAACATTGAAAGAGTCCATATTAAAACCAAAATGCTTAAATTGCCCAAAGAAACTTTGCACATTTGTTTGTGCATTCAGTCGTACCGTCCAGACTGTCCAGAGTCGTACTGTACAGACTGTCCAGAGTCGTAATA